CTCTATATGAGTGAAAAATTCTCGAATGGGACGTAAAACAACATACAATCAATCATTTTGTATGAATTCGATGTCAATATGAGAGTGTATATTCACTTCAGAGCGGGGGTATTACTAGTGAGCATTCGCTCACTGACTTCTTGTTATTCCAGTCCGAATTTCCTGTAGATTTTCTAAATTTCCAATCCATTTTTAATCTAATATAACTAAAACCTAAATGATAGGAACTCTATACTATTTATAGCCTCTGTTTCCTTATATTGTCCTTTACTCTGCTTGTATTAAAATTTTATGATGTCAATGATCAAGTTCTTGAGATGTTTGATATTTTTCATGCGTATCATTTAATTATTTGAAATACTTGCGTTTGCACATATAATATTTGCAAATTGATGTTAAAACTCGCATAGAATCTTAACTTTCAGAATAATTTTTTTTTTTAAAAAGTGATAAAATGATTGATTGATTGATTGATTGTATGTTGTTTACGTTGTTTATCGCCCATTCGAGAATTTTTTTTACTTTTACTCTGCACTCAGGGCCATTGAACAATGAGGGTTCTTTATCATGCTAACGCCTACCGTGACACGGGACCTTGGTTTTTAAAGTCTCATCCGAAGGACCCGCAACTTGCACTTCATATTGCCGAGCACTGGCGAAGGAACAGTTGCTACTTATTTTTTATCGACTTCGATCATTCACAGCCGCGATTCGAACACACAACCTTCTGATCACGGAGCAAGCGTTCTACCGACTGAGCTAACCTGACGGTAGTTGTAAAATGATGAAATTGTATTAAAATTGGTCCGAAATTCTCTGCGTCATATTATATTAACCTTTGTTTAATATTATATTTCGAATATTAAATATTGATTCATAATACGCTTATTTTATCGATTTAGTTAATTTTTTATCTAAGATTTGTTCTTCATAGTTATTCGATCCTGTCAACAAAACTTGAATAAATGTCTACCTTAAAGATGAACACGATTCGTAAAAGGAATTTGCCCGCCATATTCTTTTATTCATCCTTTATATCTGAGGGCCCCTATATAAGCCGTTCACTTAGTCACCTGTGCTACATAGCTATTGTAAAAACTCGGTAGCACAAAAGTAACTGTGTGCTTCTTCCACGGCAGGAGGGAAGGATACCAAAGAAACTTACAACAGTTACACAGTTCAGAGCAGTATACAAACACAAATACACGCCAATTGCAATAAAATATAAACATAGGTAATATAAGATACCCAGCACAAATACGCGTCGTCCATTCCACGCAGGGATCCGTAACGAAAAAGTTAGGTGTGACGAATGCGAAGTGTATACTCCAATTCTGATATCGGAGATAGTAGATCTAATATGGGGCATTCCTATTTACGAGTCGTGTTCAGCTTAAATGTGATTTTTTTCTGTGTGTTCAGAAATATTTGAATTATAAACTTTGAAAAATTCTCATCCTGCAATTTCATTACAAAAGGTAGGTACATTCATATATGTATTTATGCAATGACGCCCCCCCCCCCTTTTTTTTTTGAAAAGGTGATCATATTGCTTGGCAGTGGGTGGACCAAGTGTTGTCCAATCAATATGATAAGAACCCTTTACTTACCGACATTAGTAACCCCTCAAAAGTAGATGAGCCCTTTTGATAACATATTTAAGAAAATAAAGCTTAGTTATTCGGTGGAATATTTAAAACTAGTTTTATATAATATACAAAGTCATTGAACAATTGATTATCTCTACTTGTATCTGTCAACAGAATTGAATCCCTAAGCTGATGAAAAATTTACAGAATTATTGGAATGTAACACACTGTCTTTCGGGTTGTGTTTAGAGCCAACAAAGATACTGAAATGAGGTCGATGATAATCAGTGGAGACTTTGCAAATGTTGTTAAGGGCATCACTACACACGTTGGGGGAAACGTAAATTCCGCTATAATAGAATTATATCGTTATTTTAGTGAGATTCCGCTTTATTTTCAGCCGTAGTTACCCTCGATTTGATCAAAAGTCATGGTTGGTATAAAAATGGACACTAATTGACACCCTTTACATGAAGTCCCGATGCGTTTAATGATAAGAACACACTTTTTAAAACGGAAGTTACATTTTAGATTTGACACTTTAGTAATATTTAAGAAAGACTGAATCGCAATTTCTCTCACGTGTGCACAAATTAATGCTTGTAATAACGTTCAATCTGCATTGAAAGAGGTTTGTCGTATTTACAGAAACAAAGATGATCTTTATCTGCATGGTTACGGGTATGGAGGCCTGTAGTGACAAATGATAAAAAGCTCATTACATGTATACTTTATTCTGGTGGAGCCGATTTGTATCGTCTTAAGGTATTCAAGTATAACAAAGGGATTTTGAAGAATTTTGAATCGTTTTAAACTAGTTAAAAATACACAGCTAGATAACGATGAAAGTGAAATGAACCAAATTCACATGACTGATAACAAATGAGAAGCTGATCATTTTGCACCTGAAAAGTTTTTGAAGAGTTATCTGCCCTTGAAGAAAAGAAGAAAATATTAATTTTGTCAAAATATCTGTGGTAAATGATTCATTTTATTTCATATTTTAATAAAAAGAGAGGTTATGCATATTTTCACCAAGAGATTTGTATGAAATTCACATTACTTTTTACAATATCTTAATAAAATATGCGCAGCCCATAGATGTCAATGTAAAATTTAAGGTGCAATAAATTGGACAATAATTAAAATTTTGTAAATTCCTTTGGTGGAGCATGTTTATTTCATAACACCTTCAAAATGCTACCATGATTAATCATTTCGGACCATTCATTTATTGGGTACAAAATATGGTCGTTATACATTGAATACCTTAATGCAAGGTCCGAATGTCAAAATTGTTGGTACCCAAATGTGATAAAATATAATAAATTCATTTCTATGTGAATTTTTCGTTTTTTTAGTGCCCCGCTCTGCGGGCGCCCTATAGTGATCAGTCTGCCCTTCCGTCCATCTGTCCGTCCGAGATCTCTTGTCCGGAGCACATCTTCTCTCTCCTTGGCCCAATCTGACTCATACTTCACCCACAGAGTGTCTTTAGGTAAAGGGTTTGCAGTCACCTTGAGCCATGTTTCTAGGTCTAAGGTTAAGGTCATAGCAGAATTATATGAAAAATCCTTATCCGGAGCATATCTTCTCTCCTCTTGGTCCAATGTGGCTCCTACTTCACTCACAGAGTGCCACTGGTCAATGGATGTGCAGTGACCTTGAACGAAGTTTCTAGGTCAAGGTTAAAAATAGCCTCTCTGTTTAAAGTAATTGTTCGGTGCATAATTTCTTTCCCTTCAGTCTAGTCAGCCTCAAACTTCACCAATTGACTAAGGGTACGAAACCATTGTGATCTTCCTTCCATATTTTGATAGAGGATATGCAACAATTTTCATCGAGGATATGCAACATTCGTGATTTTTGTGCCGTTTTTTTTTATATAGGATAAGGAGTACTCGTGATTTTTGTGCCATTTTTTATTATAACAGGGAAGACATAGAAGCCTTTCAGACTGAAGCAACACATCCCTTAATAGTACACAAATGTTCCTCTTCAAAATAAACCCTTTTCAGCTACCTTATATTTTCATGTTCGTTGCTGAAAGCGGGGCCCTTTGAGATGGCCACCATCTCAATGATATCTAGTTTTTTTTATTAATTTGTTCATATCGTTTTGAGAAATGTAATCTTAAAATTTGATAAACCACAAGTTTCTTTGCGCATCTGGATTGAGTTGCCTGAATAAAAATGTTTTCTATGATTTCACTGGTTCTTTAATTAATTTGATTGAATATATCTTCTTTTTTTCATCCACTAATACATTTTCTTTACAAGTACATGTATAAATTTACCGCGCTTTGTTAGAGTAGTAATACGTTTTCATGTAGTAAATCCAGAGTCCATTGTATGCATCCTATGGTATGTAACTTTTTTATTTGATTGTGTGTTTCATTGCCATTTAAAGATTTGATTTATGTAATAATTTTGATTGTAAACGTTTTACTTTATTGTATTTTTGCAGTCAAAGTTGTAACTTAAATAAAGATGAGTCTGTAAGATTTCAATTTGAATTGTTTACAAGTACACATTTTTCATAGTGTTCATTTTTCCCAAAAAGTTTACTGTAGGTAAATCATTTCGTGTTATTTTCTTATTTGTTTAATAATTCCTGTAATTTTGACTTGTGGCACTTATGCGGCTTATTTTATTTTTGTCATAACCTATATTTTGCATGTTTTCGTTCTTACAATAAATTTGGGTTCTACAATGCCAATTAAGCTATATTCAGTTAAAACTCCATGATTAAATTCCATACCAAAAGCATTAAGTGAGGAACTATATTTTGTGGCGGAAGGTTTTTTAAGAAGAAAATGTTCATTTTTTCTCTTTCGAAGTATTTAAAGTATGTTAAGGTCAGACGCGACGTATCTTCCATTATTTCCAAAAAAAAAATTTCTATCTCCGCAATGTGAAGATTTCCACTACGTAATTCCGGAATAATCTCCGAAATTGTTTTGAATGTTAAGAAATTGTTATGTCCCTTTATGTGCTTTTTTGTAATTGGAGGTAATTTTATTAGTTTGTTTGCAACATGGAGGAGCAATTTCGCGGTAAAGGTGGAAAGTTTATATCTGAAGGAAAGTTGGGGAAAATACGGGCGTTAGAAATAAAGAAACAACGAAAAAACCAAGAAGAAATACTTCTGCAGCCAAGTGAGTGAAAATTTTATTATGATTTCTTGTTTTCGATTCTCTTTCGTATATTGTTCATACAAACGTATAGACGACTTCGTCAGTGTTCGTGTATATCCTACATATTATTGTATAACTGTGCATTTAATCTATTAAATGTCACGATGATGAAGTTCTTTCTCTGAGACGTCTTACTCCATCGATTTGCCAGAATATGTACCTTTTGAGCATGATTATTGTATGTCAGTACCGTCAAACATCGAAGAAAAGGAAATGGAGATAGCTTTTGAAGATACTGATGATGATGTAACGATAAAGTGGAACGAAGGAAGAAGGATTATTGAAATTCAGTATGTCATTGAGAAGCTGATTGAAGGCTGTGAATTCTGCAGACATTCTTTGAACTTCACGAATATATGTGGCGAGATCAGATATGGACTGGCATCAATGTTACAAATAAAGTGTGTGAATTGTGATATGGTGGTATCAGTTCCAACTGGAAAGAGACACTCTCGCATAGACAGTGACCATCCATCTAGAGCAATTGATGTCAACACAAAACTGGCTCTTGGTAGGCATTGTATAGATAATTAAATTTTATATGTACATGTACTACAAACAACAATGAAGTGCAGTTCTATTCTGATGACATATTTTTATATGATATTTGAATGGTCTACTAGTTGAACCACTAAAGATATAATAAATTACAATAATTTAAATGTAATTATGTTGTAAAAGTAACAGTCTACAAAATTGTGTATATTTTGTAGGTATGCTTCATGCAGGTATTTGCCAGAAGAAAGTATCAATGCTCTTAAGTGTACTTAATATTCCATCTATGTGCCATAAAACCTTGAAAAAACAGAGAGGGAAGTAGGAAAGGCATTAGAAGAAGTGGCCAAAAAGAGTTGTGACGATATGGCTGCGGTTGAGAAGGAATCATCAAGGTACCAAAAATAATGTTGAAAGCTATGAATTATCATTACTTGTGTCACAGAAATATATTGTACATTTTTTTTTAACCTGTGTACTGTGACAGGTATTTTTATCAAACAGTTTATTATAATATTTGCAATACTTATAATATAAAAAGCAAAACAAGGTTAACATATATATATAATTTATATGCACTGTGTTGTTTTACAGTACACCTAATGAGCTGTCTGTATCATTTGATGGTGGGTGGCAGAAAAGAGGATCAGGTCGATCCTATTCAAGTTTGTCAGGTGTTTATTTTATTTTCTAAACATTACAGTAGGTATTATACACATATCCTATATATTACACTTTGTAGCATTTGTGGCATGTAGTAGATTTTTATCTATTTAGTGGACTTTAGTGAAATACTCAGGGTTTTTTTTTTTTTTTTTTAAATTGAACATATTTTCCACTGTTTGATAGTCCAACTTCAACATACTGATTAGTGTATGGCATACTTGTAATACATAAAATGTAAGACAGTAGATTTTATCTTCTAATGAAATTATACAGTAGTTTAGTTGTGATATTACTGTAATTTATACATTATTTATGTACATGTTATAAAAATTTTGCAGGACATGCAGCAATGATTGGAAATGAAACAGGAAAAATCATCAATTTTGCAACTCGCAACAGCTATTCTAGAGTATGTGATAACTCTAAAAAAAATCTGGGAAGGTTCTACCTATCCATGACTGTCGAAAGAACTGGTCCAAAAGTGCAAAAGCCATGGAACCAGATATGTGCATACAGATGCAAGAACTTGGCCAAAATGATGTGAATGTCAGAATTGTTATCATGAACAATGATTCGACAACTGTTGCAAGAGCACATCTGGAGGTTTACCCAGCCCTAAAGAAGCAGAGTGACAAAAACCACACAATGAAACAATTTACAAATTATATGACCTAAAGAAGAGCAAAAACTACAAAGAACTAAATACCAAAACCATAAATCATATCAGCAAGTGCTTCAAATACTGCATCAGTCAAAATCAAGAAGATTTGATCAGTCTAAAGAAAAATCTGGAGGCCATAACACTACATGTCTATGGAGACCACAGCCTATGTGATACCTGGTGTGGATTTCTCTCTTCTCCTCAAACCTACAAGCCACAGCAACTTCCTTATCATCGGTACCTTTCTAACCAGCACTTGAAATCTGATCTCTCATCTCTCTTTGGATTCTACATATCACAGGCTGAAAAATTGATCAACTTAGGAAGTACTCAGGCAAAAGTTCTAACAATACAGTTGCAAGTAAAACACCAAAGTCCACTTTCTACTCTGGCTCCGAGAGTAATAACTTTCGTATAGCTGCTGCTGTGGCACAGAAAAATATAGGACATCAATATGTAATACAGGTATATAGTATAGTAATTTGTATATTTCATTACTGCACACAATTATAACAATACTATATCTACTAGACAATACAGTAAACACATGTATTTCAATGTAATGAAGATATCATATCCTCTTTCTTTTCAGGTAAATGAGAAGTTGCTTCTTTCTCTGGACAAGTTACTAGTTCCAGTGCAGAGAAAACGGACTTGAAAAGGAAACGAGACAAGGAAAGAGAAGATACAGCAGCTTACAAGAAAAACAGGGCAATGAAGAAAACAGATTCCCACAAGTCACAAGAGTCATCAGAGATTAGGGAGGGAACTACATACAAAACATGCATTGATCTAAACAACAAAGAAGAAGACAGGGAAAGCATTACAGAGATACCACCCCTCCTTAGAAAACCCCAGTCTACTCTTATTGCTCATGACCAGTGCACATTTGTTTATTTTGATTTGGAAACTACAGGTCTTGGTAAGTGTTCATATATTGACACAGAAGTATGCATGCCCTGAAGCATTATTTTTAGAATAATTATGCAACTGTTTCATTTTTTCCTGAGTAATAAATTTGTAATGTAAAAGTGTATGTTTTTTGTTTGTGACATATTGATGTGTAATTCCTTTTCCTTATGATTTAGGTAAAGATTGTGAAGTCACCCAGATTGGTGCGTGTGTTTCTGAAGAATCATTTTCACAGTATGTTCTTCCATCGACTCAATCCATTTCACCCTCTGTCACTGCTGTGTCGGGTATTGCTGTGAAGGAGAATTTGATGTTCAAGAATGGAATGCAGGTGCCATGTAAGAATACCAAGGATGCTATGAAAACATTTGTTGCATGGTTGAAAAAAATTTCAAACATAGTGCTAGTTGCTCACAATGCAAAATTTGACTCCAGTGTTATTGTCCGTGCAATGCATCAGGTATGACTACGTGCCAGTAACTTTATTATTGGATTCACAGACACATTACCTCTATTCAGAGAAGCAGTTCCCAACAGAAAATCTTACAAACAAGTGGACCTTTTGAAAGATGTATGTACAGCACATTATGATGCCCATGATGCCCTAGCAGATTCCCAAGCTCTACAACGACTTGTGCTTCATCTTGAGATATCCAGAGGGATGATGAAGAAACACAGCTTCAGTGTTGAGTTTGTTATTGAAAATGACAATTATGCAATTGTAATGAGTAGAAATACTTCTTCATTGAAACATCTTGTAGATGAAAATATTTTATCCAAATTTACAGCTAACAAAATTGCAGCTTCTATTCTTCATTATGACCATCTTTGTATTGCTCACCAGAGAGATCCTGTGAATGGCATAAAGTTTATCTTGTCAGAAAAAAAAACATGGGTAAGGTCAGAGTAACATCAAATTGTAAAATTATCAAGTCCTTACATCAGTATTTTATGAATTGTAAATGACCACTTGCTCAATATTGTGAGTAATACACTTGCACAGTTGGTGATGTTCTGTTGATCTTTTATAGACGTTTAGAAAAATGTTGTTATATGAATATAATGACTACATGTTTCTGATCTGAAAAATTATCCATGATGTAAATACAAATTCTATTCCACTGCATTTGTATCTCATTTATTTCTTATGAAAGAGAGATAACTCGATCAGTTACAATGAGAAAAATAACATTTTCTATAGAAAATTTTTTCAATAGCCTGGAAACATGGCTTTCAAAAATTAAATTTCATTTTATATCATACTTTCCCATCTGGGTATATAGTTTCAATGGAAAATATATACTACGACTTTGTTTATAGCATTCAATAGCTTTTTTGCATGCTATAATAAGGATAATCCAATTTATTCTAACTCTATAAATAGCCTGGTGATATACCCCAAATTTTTGGGCATAAACAGGTTTATATGCAAATAGATAGTTTCCATATGACATATTTTCTCTCCGAGTTATTTCCCTTGGCCGCCATCTTGGTGGTCAACCTGGTAATTTCTACTCTTTATGTTACCAAATATAAGAGGGTGTAGCAGAAATATTTGGAGGAAAATCTTTGTAGAATAAAAATTATGAAATTGAGGAGGCTTTAACAAATGTATATTTTTCTGAAAAACAATGCTTCCTACCCCACAATGGCCAGTATAAAAAGTTAAAGTTGGTTGAATAATGAAGGAATATGAGCATGTTAACCTCCAATATGGCGGCCAACGGGAAATAACTCTTGCTAATTTAGGCCTACTGAAAACTATCTATAGATAAAGCATGAAGTTTTGTGGAAATTTATCTGTAATTGAGGAAGGTCTCGTGTGTCCTTAAGTTTGGATTCCTATTTTTCCATGCAGCTTGCATACAAAGTTATTCTGTGCCGTGAACTGTTTTGTGCTGGTCCTAAATTATATATTAAATAAACTACCATGAATTCTATCATCATATTTGATAAATATAGCAAATATATTGTGAAAATCCAGAAAAAATAGCCCTAATTTTTACATGCGTAAAAGAAAATCGTTTTCTGAAGTTGTTCTGCATTTTTCTTTCCAAACACTCCAACATCCCACAACTTGGCCTCATCTTCTGGTAAAATAGAATCCTATTGTCAGAAAGATCTCAAGTTATGACCTGGACTATATTTTCATGTTAAAGATTGATTTTGACTTTATTATAAGATCAAGGTGAAAAAATTGTTGACATTCACCCTTTCTCTATACCATCTCTCCATGTTACAAGTTTGGAGACTTACTGTCAAAGAGTTCTCAAATTATGGTCTAGTCATGAAGAGAGGGGACAAGATCAAAATTTTGGTGCAGTGCATCTTGTATTAATGTTTTCTTACTATGTTCCAAGTTTGAAATCCTAATAACAAAAGGTTCTCAGGTTTAGGTTTGGACTCTTTTGATTTTAAAGATTGACCGTGACCTTATAAATTGAATCAAGGTCAAAAATTTTGGTGGCGTGCATCCCTCTTTCATACCACCTCTGCATGTTCCAAGTTTGAAATCTTTATAACAAAGGATTCACAAAGTTTAGTTATCATTTCGTAAGTGCTATGGTTGATACAATGACCTTGTCAGCAAATTCAATGTTTCATTACCTCTGATGTCTTAGAGGTCCGTGTTTGCTCTGCTCTTATTTTGTAATGTTTAATGGACATTTGAGCTCGAATACTGTCGTTATCTCCACATATTTCAATCTTAAAATATGGTCTAATCAAGTTTTTTTCTCCATTTGACCTTGAAGGAAGAAAGGGGTCAAGGTAAAAATTTTGGTGCGTTGCACCTTGTATCAGTCTTCTTTCTATTTTACAAGTTTGAAGCCCTAATATCAAAGAGTACTCAAGTTATGGCCTGGAGTCTATTTTGATGTAAAAGACTGACCTTGACCTTATAACAATTATATCAAGGTCAAAAATTTTGATAGTATGCACCCCTCCTCCATGACACCTGTATGTTCCAAGTTTGAAGTCTTAATGTCAAAGGGTTCTCAAGTTATGGCCAAGTCGTGTTTTTTTTTTTCTATTTGACCTTGAAGGAAGAAAGGGGATCGAGGTCAAAATTTTGATGCAGTGCATCTTGTATCAATGTCCTCTATCTATGTTACTAGTTTGAACTCCTAATATCAAAGGGATCTCAAGTAATGGCCTGGAATCTACTTTGATATAAAAGGTTGACCTTACAAATAAGTCAAGGTCAAAAATTTGGTGGCGTACACTTCTTCTCAATGTCATCTATTTATGTTCCAAGTTTGAAGTCATAATGTCAAAGGGTATTTAAGTTACGGCCTGGACAAAATTTGGATGAAGAAGAAAATCGACAAAAACAATACAGTGGTTAGAGCGTCTGCTCTAGAGTCGCGGCGTAAGAAGTTGATCCTTACGTCGCGGGTTCGAATCCCACTGTGGGACGTGGAGACCGGTCCTTCGGATGAGATCGTATAAACCGAGGTCCCGTGTCGCAGTAGGTGCTGGCACGAAAAAGATCCCTCACTGCTCAATGGCCGTAAGTGCCGAGTATAGGACAAAATTTGCAGCTCTCCACCAGCAAATGGTGGCGTCTCCATATGAGTGAAAAATTCTCGAGAGGAACGTTAAACAACATACAAACAAAAGACAAAAACAATATTTCTCTCCTGGAAGGGGGGCATAAATAGTAAGCTAAGACGATAAAATTTCCTACCTTCACGCAATGAAGAGTTCCTCGAAATTTTGTGCACAGTGGTGTGGTAGAATCTTTTTAAACGTGGCACAGACTACACAGTGTGTCTTCTTTTTTTATAACAAGACTACTTCAATGGCTTTTTTACCTTCACACTAATGACTTCATCCTTACTATGACAAATAAGGTTTAAGCTAAATGAAATCTTAGCTAAGATTTTGCCAAGATCATTTTGTGATCCAGTTAAGTAAGTGATCTTAGCTTAGTCTAAA